GGGTGTGGAAATCAAAGAAGAGAATGTTAAGGCTGGTAAAGAGAAGGCTGCTGGTGTGTTCAAGGCTGTGGAAGCTTACCTCTTGGCAAATCCTGATGCCTATGTTAATTAATGGTGCCTTGTGATATTTATGGCACAAATCTTTGAATATGTGCGCATTTTTGCTTATCTCATGTTTCCCCAAGCCAGAAGCAAATTCTTGGCTGGATGTAAGTGGTTCTAATGATAAAAATGAATAAGTTGTGTTCGTCTATAAGTAAGAAAAGATGAATATGAGGAAATATGCATGAAAAAATCGATGATTCACACCGAATAAAAGGAATTTGGACTCATTGATTTATTTAGAATATCGAAAATTTGGATATATGATTGAGTTTTTATTCAACAAGTCTCCTCCTTTTAGCCGACTCTAGTAGGGTCGTACCATAACCAAAACCCTATTGCAAGAACGAGAAGTAATACTACCATGACAAAAATTCCAGTGCAAGAGGAAAATCCAAAAATTACTATAAGAATACTAAAACATTTAATTACAAAACACAAACCCTAAATTCGAAAAAACAATAAAACGTACCTATGACCCTTTAAACAAATGGAATTTGCCGTAACTCCGGAAAGAAAAATGATAGCATATTAGAATTTTGAGTTCGACCTAGCTTATAAGTTAGTTAACAAAAAGAAATTTCAGTTTAGAGATGATCTGCTTCTCTTGCTGAAATAAGGGGAATGGAATACTTAAAAGGTCCATGAAAATAAAAGCCAAGTTGATGGGAAAGCGACCCTATTTTATGAGGGTTTCAAAGTCAATTTCAAATGCCTACTCAGCAAATGATCCAAAGTTGAGACTTCTTCCATTTATACAAGTTTATGAAATTTTATTTGTAGCGAAAACTTGCTCCAAAATATTTGAATAAGTTATTTTTGGGTTTAGTTTTGTATTACCTTTTTCAACCAAAACTATTCAAGGCTCTGATCCTAGACTCCAGCACCCTACCAAAACTACCCAGATCCATCAAAGTGATGTTATATTACAAGAGATGGAGGAGCCAGAAGTATCGAGCAACCAACTTCATTGAATGTAAGCAAAATAAGTGTGCTAAGTGCTAAGCACAAATCGAATTATTTCTATTAAAAGCCTAGCACATACACATATTTCATAAACAAGTGGTCGGGAGAGAGTGTTTGTGTTGGAAAAAAAATTGAGTTATGGGTCGACTTTGGCATGTGTTTTGAGTGAGACTCGGTTGTTCAATTTGGAAGATGAAAGTTGATTTGTGTTCTCCTCCGTGAGTACATCGAAATCATATACTTACTTGCCAAAGATGATGCTTGGGTGAATGAGAAATTGAGACTCAAAATGTGCCACTAAAAAAGGAGTTTATGTGAGAAAAATGAATTTGTCTCACATAGGAAAAAGATGAGAAACTCCAAAGGTCATTGTCATTAATGGTGGCCTAGCCGATAAATAGTGGCTCATTTTCCTTATTTCAATACACCAAAGCAAAAGTTTTCAAGTTTAGAATACACAAGAAATTCATTTGCATAGAATTCTGTCTTTTCAGCATTTCTGTCTTGGTGGTGGTGTAGTTCAGGCACTAGTTTAGTTCGCTGGAGTGGTTTCTGCGGTGCTCGAAAGCTACTGATTTACCGTTGTATCCTGGGAAACAGACGCTCGTTTTAAATCTCAAGCACGAACGGTAAGGGGGTGAATCTGTTTTAAGGAAAATGTGTGTAACACAGGCCTTGGTTTGAAATTTCATTTCCTGCAATTTCAATTATTCGTTCTGTTATTTATTGCAGTAAATTCAATAGTTAATTTGTTGTTCATTCTGTTATTATCCAATTAGTTGTACGACTGTAACTTGCTGTTATATATCATCTTACCGGACAAAAGGCATATACGGTATTGAAATCGAGAATACCGAATTCCTCATTTTTCATAAACTTATCGAATTTCAGAAAAGTTCGTTCGACCGAACTGGTGAAACTTGAGATTTTCCCTACAGTTTGAACCTAGGTTTATTTAAATTTTTCAATAGTAAGTACTAATTTTCGCAACATAATGACCCGTTTGAGCCCATGAATTTTAAGAACTAAGTGCTTATTTTAAGTCTTTGCAAGATCGGAAAGCTCGTTGAAAATTAATGGACTTTAATGTCATATTAAAACATGGGGTAGATGAACCTCGATGTGAGATTTATAATTAATAGTTCTTAATCTGATTTTTTATTTTGTAATTTGTGAAAATATAAGTTGTTCGCATTATTTTAATACATTGATCTCTTTCTTGTTACAAAATGATTCCCAAATAGTGGATATGTAACCTTCAATCGTAAAGCTACTTTCATAGTCTCATTTGTATATCCATTTCTTTTCCATGGTTTGTATATACAAAACTTAATTCATATAAAGCCAGTTATAGATAACCATCCAAGTTAAAGCAAAAATATTCCCCTCAACATTCTAGGGTCCAAATAAAACACACAAACTTAGAGAGTAGGGAGTGAATCAACGACATGACACTGACTTCAAAAGTTAGCTAATCAAGCTAATGGGATGTTAAATAAATGAGGGGTTCTGTTCTTAAGTTCAAGCTTTCTCAGCATCCTACACGTATTTATCATTTGACGAGAACGACTTTGGTTGACACATGATACTACGTAAAAGATTATCTTTTTAAACTTTTAGAAGAGATAACTTAAGAAGTAACAATTTCCTCTCAAAAGCAGATTCTTTTCAAGTCCAACGACTTACAAATCACTTTTAAATATTCCCTCTGCATGCACAAATGAATGAGATATATTGATTCCATTATCAGTACTCCCCACTCTGTCCATCCCACAACGCACGTTGATTTGTTCCTTCAGTATCTTTCTCCGATCTCCATGACTCTTCCAGATATGGAGGTAGGTCTTATAACCCATGTCAAACATAGGTACAAATTAATTTACAAAAAAATTATTTAGTGCTTCGTCTTTCGATTATATTTTTAATTGAATTACTTTTAAATTTTACAAACTGCAGAAACCTCCAGTTACAGAGATACAAGTTCGTATGGACTGCAACGGCTGCATGCAGAAAATAAAGAAGGCCTTGCACGGTATCAATGGTACGCAAACTAATTTCAATCAACAGTGTTAACTGCATGCTCTTTTTATTTTTATCCATAGAGCATAATTTGCAAAAAGTTCGTCTCTCTTAGGTATATACGATCTCCACATTGATTTTCCTCAGCAGAAGATAACAATAATTGGGTGGGCAGATCCTCACAAAATAGCCAAAGCCATTAAGAAAACTGGAAAAACTGCAATAATCTGTTCACATTCAGAGCCATCTGATGATCCCCCATCAGAACCAGCACCACCAGGAACAGAGGGAGGTAACCAGCCCGCGGCAGAAGAAGCACCACCACAACCATCATTACCAGTGCCGGAAAATCCACCATCTGAGGCTGCTAATAGTACTCCAACAAACCAGCCTCCAGTTCAAACCTCTAAACCAAAAGATGCTGAGGAAATTCATGTGATACACCACCATGTACAAGATAGATATGGGCCATTTGGCTACGGTGGTTCACCAGCACCGGGATTAATTAGTGTCCAGCCACCTCAACCAATGTTCGAGTGAATTCCCGCAAACGTACAGGTTCGTTGACAAGTAATAATTGTGATAAGTAAAGTATCGTCCCACAGGGAATAAGGATTAATTCTAGGATATTTGATAAATTTGAATTCGTGTTTGTGACTAAAACTATCGAATGAATAGTTAACGGATTTTTAAAACTAAAATTTATAAAAGTAATGGAGGTTGATTTAAAACTCGAATATGCGAATGTATTGGATTTCAGACGCCATTGAGTAACGCTTAGTTCTAATTCTCAACTAGTGTTAATTATCTCAATTTATGCAATTGCGACGATCGATAATTCCACAATTATTTATTATTCTTTTCCAAGATATAATAAACCTATGTTTACCACGAGACGATCATATTCCTAGTTCGAATTCATATGGTAAACATGCATTGACATTTAGGATTATCATATAAAATCGCACACGTCACAAATATTATTCCTAATATTTATTGCGCGTGTGTTCCAATAATAGTGTTCTACCTATCGTGAGTTTTCCAACACTACGAATAAGCAACTTATTATCCTAATGGTGCGCTAATATTAGAACAATATAAATAAGCATATTAATGGAATCACAACACGATATTTAAAATAAAAACACATGTCTCAAATTAGAACTAAAAATAAAACATCTTTGTCATCCATCCAATACAGGAGAAAAATTAGCCTAGCATACTGTTGGAATTAAACAAAGAAAAGTGGAAGGAAATCACCAAAACTCGACAGGACATGATTGACTCCACGAATTTGCTTGACTTTTGCACGTGTATTTTGATTTCTCGAGTCACAGGATCAGCTTCCAACTTTATGTATATCAAAATATATATGTATCAGCCGCTGCCCAAGTTTATGTATATATCCCAGCAGCCAATTTCTCTTCTTGTTGTAGGTTTGTATGTATATTAGTCAGCAGCAGCCCTTTTTTTCTCCCCCCAAGCAGCCTTTTTTTTTTGTGAATTCTGGCCAGCGACTTCTTGTGTATATATCTCACCTTTCTTCCCCTCTAATTGGTGTGTAAAATATATATAAATCAGCCCCCACAATCTCCTCCAGCAGCTGCAGCTTCTCTGACTCTCCTGTCGGAGTTTTTTTAATTCCCTCCGCTCTCTAGGTTTTCTTTTTTTCTCCCTCTTTTATGAAAACTAATCTGCATGGTTTTTAATAGTAAAACCTAGGAAATTTTCAGCTTTGGTCCCTGAAGTTTGGAGAAGCATTTAAAATGACCCCCGATAATTAAAATGGCCCACAAGCGCCCAATTCACTTTTCGCCAATTTTTGCTTCTTTCCTTTCCTTCTTCGTCCAAGCACGAGCTTTACCTAAGAAAATTAATACAATAAAATTTAGATCATATTTTGCCAAAAGAACAATAAAATTATTTAGTTTAGAGCACCGAATAAGTGTAGAAAATACACTTATCAAACCCCCAAACTTGAATCTTTGTTTATCCTCAAACAAAACTGAAATCTAAGTAACAACAAACATACAAGCATGCAAAAATTATTTGGTTGGACAGTTTAACTTTTTACCACAGCATTTGAGATTACTGAATTAAATCTATAAACTGCTTCAAAGTTGCAATACCAAACCAATTTTTACTCTACCAATGCAAAATCGACGTGTGTGTGTGAAAAATTAAGTAGACACTAATGACTTCACAAGTTGTTTTAATTCCCGACCCTCTATGGTCAAATATATTCTTTCATCTCTCGTAAGATTCACACAGCCCCAACTTTATTATTTTCACTCAATTCCCAGCAGGTGATCTAAGGTTGAATTTTTCATTACTATCATTACCCTCTCTAGTTCCGGTGGACGTTACTAGTTGCAAGTTAATACATCAATGAACAAATATTCTCAATTAATTGATTGCTTCAACCGCTAGGACTCAACTAGGCTAATTATCCTTCATTGAAAAGTGAAATTTTCTCGAATAAGTGCTCGGACTTAACAAGGCAATTAGTGCTTTTGCTTTTTTTCTTGCACTTGCTTTTTCTGATTTTTAAGAGTTTTTATTTTTTATTTTTTTATTATTCTCTCCATTAAGCTTTCTAGATGACCCATGTAGCAGGCTTTAGGCCGATGACTTCCAAGTCAGATGACTTTAGAGCATCAGGTTTTAAGATACCTTTACAGGCTTAATAACTCGAGTCAAAAAGGCTTCGAAGAGAACAATTTTTTTTTTTCAAGTGCAACTTCATCCCTGATTGCTTTCTAAATAACCCCTGTAACGAGCTTTAGGCCGATGACTCCCAAGTCAGATGACTTTAGGGCATCAGGTTTTAAGATACCCTTGCAGGCTTAATTACTCGAGTCATAAAAGCTTTAGAGAGAAGTTTTTAATTTCAAAATATATGCCTTGATTAGTGCAATGCCCTTTATCATACATTTATTCAATCAAATCGACCTCCAACTCAAGACTTTTACCAATTTTATCCTGTTAGTCTAAGACAATCCACACATAAGTTTTCACACATGGAATCCTTGCCCATATCCGTATCTTCCTACAATAGCAAAATCACCCCCAAACTGTTCTAAATTTGGTCTAAGGATAAATAATTTGTATGGTATGGATAAAGCGTCTATATTCAACTAAATCAACCTATAAAGCATATGAATCAACTTATTTCATCACAATGTCAACTCAATTTCAGTGCATATTTAATATCAAATTTTGCAAGTTCAAGCTGCAATCAGTCTAGCATGCTCCCTATCCACAGTTCATAAATTAACACCAAATCTCAAATTTAATCATCATTGTCAGCCAAATTGTCCAACCCACACAAGCACACAAACAAACAAAAATAAAAAGTTAACTAATTTCTTTTTTTTTTTTGTTTTTTTTTAAACATATGAAAAACAACACACGAAAACATACGAAAACCAAAAACACAAAGTGTTTCCCACCCCCAAACGTAAACCAGATATTGTCGTCAATGTCTTAAAACATAAGTAAAAATGTAAGGGGATGGGGAGGAAAAGGACGAAGGTACTCCCCGAATTTTTCTGTGGAAGGTACTGTAGGTAACGGCTAGACAATCTTTTTCATCATACTTTCCCTGTGGTCGATGTTGGTCTGAGTGTTCCACAACGTTATGTTCCTGCATATGGCAATCATCAAATAGTAGAGATCAAATAATCCAAAACCTATGTTACTTAGTCCAAACACTCGAAATAACCAACATTATATTTAAGGGCTTCAATGAACACATGACCAGATGACGATAATGTATAAATGTAAACGTGCCTAAATCTAATGCAACTAACAATTAAAATAAATCTATATGCAATGCAATGCAGAAAACAAAATAACTAAAAGGTTCAGAAATTGGGTTGCCTCCCAATAAGCGCTTTATTTATAGTCTTTAGCTAGACTTTGTTGTCCTGGCTACTCTACATTGTCAAGTGGCACGGTTGTTTTCTCATTGGAGTAGTCACCTCCCCAATACGCTTTCAACCGTTGTCCATTTACTTTGAATCTCCTTTGTTGATCTTTAGACATCACTTCCACAGCACCATGTGGAAACACAGCTACCACTGTGAATGGACCCGACCACCTAGACTTTAGCTTTCCTGGAAAAAGCTTGAGGCGTGAATTGAATATCAACACTTGCTAACCAACCTCAAACTCTTTTTCCCTTATATGCCTGTCGTGCCATCTCTTGGTCTTTTCCTTGTAAATCTTTGCATTCTCATACGAATCCAAACGAAACTCATCTAACTCATGAAGTTGTAGAACTCTCTTTTCTCCTGCTGCCCTCATATTGAAATTGAGTAAGTGTGTCGCCCAGTATGCTTTATGTTCTAACTCAACGGGTAGGTGACACGCCTTTCCAAATATTAGTCGATATGGAGACATGCCAATTGGAGTCTTAAATGTTGTTCTATATGCCCAAAGTGCATCGTCCAATTTCTTAGCCCAATCTTTACGTGATGCACTGACCGTAGCTTCAAGAATCTTCTTTAATTTCCCTATTGGAGATTTCCACTTGCCCACTAGTCTGAGGATGATATGGAGTCGAGACACGATGTTTCACTCCATATTTGGCCAACAACAAAGCAAAGAGGCGGTTACAAAAGTGCTTTCCACCATCACTAATAATCGCTCTCGGGGTGCCATACCTTGTGAAAATATTTTTCTTCAGAAATTGAGTCACTACCCGACCGTCATTAGTTGGTAAAGCCACAGCTTCAACCCACTTAGACACGTAGTCCACTGCCACCAGTATGTATTGTTGACCATAGGATGGAGAGAATGGTCCCATGAAGTCAATGCCCCAAACGTCGAATATTTCAACCTCCAAGATACCGTTCAAGGGCATCTCGTTCCTCCTTGACATGTTTCCAGTTCTCTGGCACTTATCACAGTTCTTCACCATATAATGTGCGTCCTTGAACAGCGTAGGCCAATAAAAACCCGATTGCAGTACCTTTGCTGCTGTCTTGGTTGCTGCAAAGTGGCCCCCATACGGTGCAGAGTGACATGATTCTAATACTTGATGTTGTTTTACTTCTGGCACACAACGGCGTATGATCTGATCTGGACCCCTTCTGTAAAGGATTGGATCATCCCAAAAGTAGTGTTTTAGGTCACTGAAGAATTTCTTCTTTTGGTGACTCGAGTATTCTGGTGGGATGATGGAGCGAGCCAAATAATTCACATAATCGGCATACCATGGCGTAGTGATAATCTGAAAGAGCATTTCATCTAGGAAAACTTCATTGATCTCCTCCGTAGGGTATGACCCATGTGATTCAAGGCGAGATAAATGATCTGCAACAACATTCTCGCTCTCCTTTTTGTCTCTGATCTCCAAATCAAATTCTTGCAATAGGAGTATCCATCGAATAAGCCTTGGTTTTGCGTCCTTCTTGCTCATTAGATATTTCAATGCTGCATGATCCGTATAGACAATCACTTTTGACCCAATCAAATATGACCTGAATTTGTCAACAGCGAACACCACTGCCAAAAGCTCTTTCTCCGTAGTAGCATAATTCATTTAAGCCTCGTCTAAAGTCTTGTTGGCATAGTGGATAACATGAGAAATATTATCCTTGCGTTGACCCAACACTGCCCCCACTGCATTATCGCTGGCATCACACATAAGTTCAAACGGATAATCCCAGTCTGGAGGAGCCAACACTGGAGCGGAAACCAATTTTTCCTTTAAAGTGTTGAAAGTTGTCAAGCACTCCTCAGAAAAGTGAAATGGGGCCCCTTTTTCCAATAAATTGCACAATGGCTTCGAAATTTTGGAAAAGTCTTTGATGAAGCGTCGGTAGAACCCAGCGTGACCCAAGAAACTTCTAACTCCTTTTACTGTTACCGGCGGTGGAAGTTTTTCGATGACTTGTATCTTAGCTCTATCAACCTCAATACCCCGTGCTGAGATTAAATGTCCTAACACAATCCCTTCTTGAACCATGAAGTGGCATTTTTTCCAATTTAATACGAGGTTTGTGTCCTCACACCGCTGTAGCACTTTTCCCAAATGTTCAAGGCATTCCTTAAATGATTTTCCAAATACTGAGAAATCATCCATAAACACCTCAATGATATTACCCACCATGTCTGAGAAAATAGACATCATACAACGTTGAAAAGTGGCTGGAGCGTTGCAAAGGCCGAAGGGCATCCTCCTATAAGCGAAAGTGCCGTAAGGGCATGTAAATGTCGTCTTCTCTTGATCATCAGGCGCAATAGGGATCTGGTTGTACCCCGAATAGCCATCTAAAAAGCAATAGTAAGCATGTCCAGCGAGTCTCTCTAACATCTGGTCAATGAAAGGAAGGGGAAAGTGATCCTTTCTTGTGGCATTGTTGAGTTTACGATAATCAATGCAAACTCTCCACCCCGTGACTGTACGTGTGGGGATAAGCTCGTTATTTTCATTTGGAACCACCGTGATTCCTCCTTTTTTCGGTACGACCTGCACTGGACTCACCCAATGGCTGTCTGATATAGGATATATGATCCCTGCATCCAGAAGCTTTAATACCTCTTTCCTTACCACCTCCTGCATAGTCGGGTTTAATCTGTGTTGATGCTCGATTGAAGCTTTGTAATTGTCTTCCATCAGTATCTTATGCATACAAAGCGAAGGGCTGATCCCTTTTATATCCGATATCGTCCATCCTATTGTTGTCTTGTGCTTTCGAAGCACCCTCAGCAATTGATCCTCTTCCACTTCTGTAAGACTATTTGAGATAATTACTGGAAGTGAATTCTTTTCCCCCAAGTATGCGTAGCGAAGATGTGTTGGCAGTTGTTTGAGTTCAAGAGTTGGAGCTTGTTTTATAGATGGTAAAGGTGTTGTAGGTCTTTCACCGAGCTCCAAACACGGTTGCTTGAAGAATGGTGGTATGGCTGCCAAATAACGTGCACATTCTTCTGCTTCCTATTTTTCTGATGGTAAATCTTGAGAATGTACTAAGCACGCTTCAAGCGGATCTTGAGGGTGATCTAGTTTGGATGTCTCTGACACCGCTTCTTTTATTACATCAATCTGCATGCAAGAATCCGGTTCGCTCTGAAATCTGAAAGCTCGAAACACGTTGATTGTCAGTTCTTCTTCATTTAACCTCAATATCAAC